GAAATAAAATAAAACGAAATTTTTTTTCTAAAATTTGAATTTATTTTTATGAAAATCATCCCACAACACGCCATATAAAGTACAAAAGGATAGATTTCGTTTCTTGAAACAAACCAATTATGGCAAATAAGCTTCTTTCAACCAATTTGGAACGATTTCTAAGTCGGATTAAATCTCCGCTTACGCGTTAATAGCGCGAAATATATCGCGCGTTCATTGTCCCAAATTGGCCAAACTGGCAACTTTTAAACCCTCATAACTTTACGAAAAATGATCACAGGTGAAATATCTTTTCAAATTTAAGCTCAGGACAACAATACCTTTTGAATAAAAAGATTTTGTCAAAAATGGCTAGTTAAAAAGTCGAAATTTGTCTGAAGAAAAAAAAACCCACCGAGCACAAATATTCCGTTACTTTCGTATCGAAAGTCGGAACAATGAATTTGCGGTCATCAAATTTGCTCAGCTCTGAAGTTACGAACACTGAAAGGCCTAAGATCGACCGACGGTCTATGAAACTATTGCTGTGCGACTTGCCTAGGACTCATTAATTGTTCCGATTTTCGAAGAAAGTGAGAAATATATATGGCTGGGTTGTTTTTAATATTCGGACTAACTTTACGAAGGAAGTTGAAAGCATATGGGTATAGATCCGGAAACTTTTGGATTGCCGCGAGAGTTTCTAATTGATAGTCCAATACGTAGACCTTTTATGCGTGGCAAATTATCCACATTAATATTCGTTACAAACTAAATCAAGGCAAATAATTGGCGCTTTTATTTCGAGTCAATTTTTAAAATCTTTTCATTTGAGATTTGTAGTTCCAAATTTATAGTTGTTTGAATTTTTGTTTTAAAAAAATTATTCTAAAATAATTAAAGGGCAGTCAGAACATTCAGGGCTTTGCCCTGATATTCGAGCAGTCTGTGTCATTTTTGGTGTAACATATCGATTATAAAAACATGCTAAAAATTCTTGAGAGCACAAAAAATATTGTTTTAAGTCACTGGCAATTTTCATTATATCTTAGCCTCATCATGTGTTAGAGCGCTAAATGCTCGAACTCGAAATAAAACGTTTTTTTTTTTAACTCAACGCTCCAACCGGCCTTAAATCAAGTTCGAACTTTTTGCGTTGATCATATTGAATGTTGGTGGCCCTGAATGTTCCGATTGCTGAGGACATACCTTCCGGATGATATGATAAAATTCCGTCTGGAGAAAAAGATCACACCGAGCACAAGAATTCCGTCATTTTCTTCGACAGTCAGAACAGGAAGAATTTTTGGTTACTGTAAGGAAATTTCTCCGAACATGAAGTTATGAAAATGTTCCGCCGCCACAACCACGCTCCGCAATTTAAGCTTATCAATGCTTTTATTAGTGCGTCACATATCCATGTCGTTTAGCATTTTGTATTGAAAAGCTTTCATAACGAAATCGTTTACAAACATATTTATTGCGACAATTGTTTATTCTTGGACCTGGTTTTAATATATTTTGCGTCCCAACATTGAAAAAAATTGAAAACGCTTCCGAAAGTGTAGCTGAGCTGAGTATGAACCAGACGAATTAATCAGCCGAACCTATAAGTGATCCAACAGCTGACAAATTTTCCGCTCCTTTAAATTTCTCCGCTACTTCCAGCTAAAATATTTCCAGCTAAAATACTTCCAGCTAAAAAATATACTAAAATATTCCAGCGCACTGATATCATTTTGATGAACTTTAAGTTGAACAGTTAAACGCCAATTTCAAATACCTATCTTCTTTTGCTGTTATTATGTTCGAAACTTTGAAAATGTTTTAATTAAACTTTTAATTTTTTTCTGATATGCCAGGTGTTTAAAAGATTCTCTGCCTTCTTCCTTCCTTCAAAGTATTTTTTTTGTCGGTGGTAATATAAGATTCGGAATTCTTTTCTCTTCACGTGGACTGTATCGATGGGCATTTAACAATCAATGTTTGAACGAATTTTTGATCAGCATTCATATGAGCGATTGATTTTAGCGACAAGCAAAAACGACTCATACTCAAGGACAATGTTACCTCACATTCATGCCATGATTACGTAATTTGACTCAATAGTTAGGCCATCCATTACACGAGCTACCGCAGATTAATGAACTGTTGTATCATTTTAACCAAGCAGGATGGAAATGTTTTCTAGGGCACTATTCTATCATAAGAATTGCATATGATGTCGCAAACATTAAAAAAAAACTTCAAATCTAAAAAACCTTTTGTGCCACAAACAGGCCACACATGTAAACAATTTAATACAATTTAACTAAATGTATTAAATTTTGTATAAATTTCTATTTGTGAATATCTCAAGTCGCATAATTCTCCAAGATGAGAAGATGTGCCATCGTAAATATAGTGCAGATTTGTTGATTTTTTAAAATAATGATGAAAAACAGCTGTAGTTTACTGTTCACGTTTTTAAGTTCTCAGTGAAACTCTAGTTTTCATTTTTGGAGACAATTCATTATATTTGTTTTTCCGGCTTTCGAAGTAAAAGCGCGTTAATATTGTAGTAGTCAAAGTTGTCTCAAATTCAAATCCTTTTCAACCCTCTGGAACTTTTTAAAAAAAAAAAATAGAGTCACATGCAAACAATAGTTAGGCCATCTACTACACGAGCCACGATTACGGCACATCAGTCACACGCGCAACAGAGAGCAGTCGGAACAGTCAAGTTTTCCCTGATATTCGAACAGTATTGATATGTTTCTTGATTCTTTTCGCTTTTTCGAAATTGTGCGCTTCATGTCTTGAATTAACTTTGCGAGAAAAACGAGCTTAAGATTTTGATTGCCCAATATTCAGCCAAAACTTCAAAACGTTAGTCTGAAAATTATAGAATTTAAGTCAAAATACTGAAAACTTAAAGTTATAGGAACATATTTTATTATAACTCCGAGTTTCGGGAAGCCGTTTATGAATAAAACCAAACAAAACTCTAAATTTTTTCTCGGTAATTTGTGTAATTCAACAAAGGTTGAATTATTTTGATAGTTTTCTCTGACAAAAGTCAAATTTTTAAAATATACTTGATCGACAAAATTAGCAATTTTTTTTGTTTCTGTTGTTTTTGGGTTTTGACTGCATGCATCTGAAATTTTAGATCTTCATTTTTGCACCATTTTTCTACAATTTTGTTGTCTAATTTGATACAAATGTTTAAGGAAAAAAACTGCGTAACATCACATATCCCAAGTAATCAAAGAGAAGATTTTGGGCAACAAAAATTCCAGACAAAAATTCCAGTGCTATTTTCGGGTAGCAGTGAGATAATTTTTTCGTTTGCCAGAGCGTGAACGGTATAGTTTGCAGAATATTATCCAAGCAACATACAACTGGTAGAAACAAATTTTGAGGAGGAACTGTTTTGTGGGATACAATAAAAAAAAATTCATTAGGGTCGAAGTTTTGAATAGTAAAATAGGCTGAAGTATTTTGGTCTTTCCCAAAAATCACAGAAGGGAACAAACTCATAACAAGTCTGCTCGTATCAGGGTGAAGCCCTGAATGTTCCGACTGCCTTTTAAGGTTTATGGAGTAGTATAGCATTAAAAAATTAAATGAAATAAAACAAAATGAAACATTTATTTTTCTAAAATTTGAAAATTTTTAATAAAAATTATCCCCCCACACGCCATATAAAGTACAAAAGAATGAATTTTGCTCCTTGTAACAAATCACTTATGACAAAAAAATTTCTTTCAACCAATTTGGAAAGATTTTCAAGACGAATTAACTCTCCGCTTACGTGCTAATAGCGCGAAATATATGACGCGTTAATTGTCCCAAATTGGCCAAAATGGCGATCTTTAAACCCCCGTAACTTACGAAAAAAATCGCAGGTGAGATATCTTTTCAAATTTTTTTATATCATTCAAAAGGCAACAATACCTTTTGAATGATATAAGAAAATTCCGTCAAAAATGGGTAGTTAAAAATTCGAAATTTGTCTGAAGAAAAAAAAATTAACCCGAGCACAAAAATTCTGTTACTTTCGTATCGAAAGTCGGAACAAAAACAAACGGCAAAATCGTATCAGTCTGGAATTACTTGAATGAGAATTTTCTCTTTTAAACTCTTTTTGCTATCCTGCACATGAAAATTGTCTCGTCCAGATTGGAGATAGATTTTTCCGTTGGCTTTAATGGAGAGAAAAACTGGAAGGTTTTATTTTGTAAATAATTGAAAACTGGACCTGCTATAAACAACTCGAAACTTGTTAGAAAACTGTTTCAACGAATTGCGCACTTGCTATACTGACCGAACAAGCTAAACCGAGTTATCTCCGAACACGTCCAGACAATTCGGCCAAAGACAATTCAACCAATAATGGTGACCGCGGCAGTCGCGCCAACGTGTTGCGAGCTTGCCATCAGAGGGTAGGACTCTATACGAAACTTAGAGCCGGTTATCGCCGCGCAGCGCGCCCACCGGCGATCTTAAACCGAGAAATTGCTCCAATTCTGATTTTTTTCTTTCGAATCTAGTGTTTTGTAAAACTAGCTGAATTGTCTCAGGCTGAATTGTCTGTATATTTTTGGCTGAATTGTCTGAATTTCAAATTGGCTGAATTGTCTCTGGCCGAATTGTCTGTGCGCCATCTCCAAACCAGATATTTGTTTTTTTTTAAGTCATTTTTTGCAATAAACAGAAAAAATTTGCCAAGTAATGATTATTTTTTCCTGAAATTGGATAACCTTTTCTCCACGCATGTTTTCGTGCTTTATCGATTTAACGTACAGGATAAAACTATTTGAATCAAACTCTTTTACACTCACTTCTCTCATTTTGTACTAACTTTGGGCAATAAAAGATGATGACAAAAGTTGTTCCAAACTTTATCAGCATTTTACGGTTTTTTAAATTGGGGCGGACTTCCACAGGCTCGTTATAGTCATTGAAAGAGCAATTCAGTATGAATGATCTCGAATTCCCTTTTTAGACAAGTAAACAGGATTTAAAAGTGTACTTACTCTCCCCGTTTCCATTTTTCAGCCACGATCAGAGCCGATTTCTGTTGATAAACAGCCCCCCTCCTCGACCTCTGAGGTATGCTCACGGCACCTTCTGGGAAGTCAACCGCCACCATCGTACAAGTCACCGGCTGCTGGTCCGGGGGCTGCTGCTCCAGAAGACCCCCTCCGGCCATCATGGTTCACTGTACACTCGGATTACCCAACCAGTGATGTAAGTATGGTGTCATAATTTAGTAACTGTGCGGTAACATGATTGATGATGTAATAACACCTTTTTCACTATTCTAAATAATTAATGTCAGTTTTCTCTGATAAATCTGTAATTCACAATGATGTAAAAAATTTATGGTAAAGGTAAGTAATGTGAAAAGGAGTCATAAATGCGAATACTTTTTTAACGTAAAATATGCCACGGGTCATGCATAACAGGTTCTCAGACATTTTGGAAGCGTGCTTAGTTCAAATAAAACGGAAACTGTATTGCGTTTAATGGAAAATAAATCGGTTGCTTTATGGTCGGAATAAGAATCAATTTCTTGTTTGTTTCTTGTGTTTTTCAAATCAACGGAGCACTTCTGAAACAGATTTAAAATTGCTTTCAACTGGTTTTTTATGTAAAAAATTAGGAGAAGAAAGAAGACAGCTTTATTTAGTTTTTTATCCGTCTTTTGATTTTGAAAAAAAAACACGAAAACGCACAAAATACAAGCAGCTCTTACAGGTTATGACTTTCATGTTAACGCTAAGTTTTCAATGCAATAGGTAAGTAATAAAAAACAAACAAGAGACAAAAAAAACTGATTTTAATAAACTAAATTAAAAAAGTGCGGCTACTATCTTTTGTTTTTGGTTGCCTGGTGATTATTTGAGATAAAATCTAGCACTTTTTGATATTTGCTTTGATAAGTTCTAATGTAAACTTATAAGTTAAATTTAATCAAAATGATACAAAAAACTCTGATAATAATTAGAAAGAAAGATTTTTACTTCAGAGCTATTCATTCTATAAAGAAATGTCAGGATGAACAAAAAATATCGCGAAAAAAGTTTAAAAAAGAAAAATGATTCAAAGAATAGTCTAATAGTTCTTTTTTAATATTACTTGTACATTAAAGTCTTATGAAGAATTAGAACTGCATCAACTTTTAAAGTTATCACTTTTTTTGAATATTAATGACCTAATTTTCAATCTGCTATTTTCTTTATTTTTTTTTGTTTTCCGTAGCAATGGCTTGTTGGTATCAATACAGAGAGCGCATTCGCTGTTGGTTAAAGATATTTTTGATCAATATTCGGATCAATTTCCGGGATAAAACTCCGCAAAAAAGAGAAACTGGGAGTGTTGCAGGGCGGAAATTATTGGCATGGATTAAGTTCAAGTTATTCGATTGAGGTAGCGGAACAAGTTACTGATACAGAGCAGCCGATGATAACAATAAAAGAGTAAAAAAAAGATAAATAAAAAAATGGCGCTAGAAATTAAAAGTATTGTGAAAAAATATATATATAATTCTTGTTATTTTCAGCAAACTTTTCAGTTTAAATTGGCTCTAACTGTGTGACGAAATAAACATCTGATGGCATTTTTTCGCAATTTTTCAGACTAGATTTTGAATTTCTGGAATCTGAATTGAAGCTTGGTGTGGGCTGTTTAATTGTTGTAGATTTAGCGGCCATCGGGTAACTGTAATACTGGACACTTGTGTCGATTGGCATAACATTGAGTAATATTGATGGATGAGGGTGATGAAGGAAGCGCGATGGCTGCTATCTTCAGACGTATATTTTTACAATTTAACAAATGTTACAACAACTGTAATCAACGAATGCTGTTTTATCCGATAACAACAATATTTATGGCCAACAATTTGGGAGAGCGGATAAAAACTCTTCATAATTCATACATATGACAACGTCACTATGAATATTAAGCATGTTTTGTAGCGGTAATTTTCTGTTACTCTTTTGCAAACTAGAATAACAAAAATTGTAGTTATTATGGTATGAAAAATGATGAAAAACTGGTTTCAAAAACACACGCAAATAATAAATTTGTGTTTTTTTTTGCCTTTAGAAAAAGGAACCGCATCGGTATTTTTGGTCAAAATTTTCCAGCTGATCATCAATCATGATTTATTTACTCGTGATTGCGTGATTACAGTTAATTACTTCTATACTACAAAGCTGAACATGGTTTTCATCAACTCTTTGCAACTTTTACTTTGCTATGATCAAAAATGTATTTCAATTTGAGAAACAAGAACAGTTTCTGTTTTTTTCTGACGTCAAAAAATGAGGAAAAGGGAGGACAAAAGTGATAAAAATTGAAAATAGGTTATTAGGAAAGTAGAAAATGAAACACATGCATTTTTATTCACCCTGAAATGTTACAGTTTCAGTGCCTGTAAGGACGCATTAATGAATAGATTCACGGGGCAATGAGTTTATTTATGAGAAAAGCATAATTGACGCAGGGGCTTTAAATTATAATAAAAAACGACCAACTCCAGGGTGTTGAAAAGTCAAGAGGTTGATTTTTTTCGGTATCTTCAAATTAAAGGTTGACAATAAATTTCCATCAATAATATGTCATTAATGTTCGTGATGATCTATCATTACCTATTTTTCAAAGGTATACGTGAAAAATGTGACGTTAAGCAAAATGTTACTTTTTTCTAAAAAGGTAGAGCAAGCATTAATTTTCTGTCAGTGAATTTAGAACAACTAAGCGACCGGCAATTTATTAGATTAGTATGTGCAATTTGGGCATGTGTTTTCAAGCTTGTGCAATCAATTTACCTTTGTGGGGTGCGGAAGTGGGTTGAAACGTGAAGACATTCAATTTTCACGATTGATTTGGACTTCCACTGACAGATTTTACTATAGTCTCAATCCAAATCCACCCACCCACCGACAGACGTTTAATAATACAACTTACTGCTCTCAATTTACTAATGATAAGCACTAGAAACGCTTGAAAAGAGGGATAAACATGCTAAATTGCTCCTTTCAACGGGCATAATTCAAGATTAGAAATCTGAAGAACAGCTAATATGAGTGCTTATGCTGCTTGCTCTTATGTTCAAAATGGTCCAATATAGAAAAAAAAATAGACCAAAATTCGTTTTTGTGTTAATATAAAACATTGATTAAACGGACTTTTCCCCACATAATGAGGTCAACCCTCTGTTTGCTTGTGTTTTTTCTTGTAAAGTCAGAAATCAGCTATTTGAAATCTTTGTTTATCGCCTCTGTGACCAATGAATAAAACAGGCCAACAAATTTGCGCATTGCGTAATTTTTTTCTGAAACAACAAGAAAAATCAATCGTCAGTGTTTCCAAACAAAACAGAGACATTCTTAGCGTTTTTCGCGACACAATTTTTGTGATAGTTTTCACTTTGTAAGAAAACAATGCTTACTTTCTTAATCAGTATAACGCGACCACTCTTTAGAAAATGGGAAAATGGTGTGAATTTTTGTTGACAAAAATTTTTGAGTTCTGTCTTGCCATCTCTGATTACAAAGCAAGATAAACAAGAGTTCTCGTATATCAAAGCTAAGCCGTAAATGTTCCGACTACCCCTCAAAGCAAAAAAAAGTTTTAAAGATTCGAAAAACTTGAATAACATTGTTTCATTTTTGTCTTTTTATTGTACTACCACGCGCTATGTAAAGTACAAAGAAATGTATTTTGCGTCTCGTATTTCATCATATTGCTGGCCTAAAGTCAAATTGACATGATTTAAATTTTCACTCACTCATTCCCGGGTTGACAATCATACAATTTTCGATCATACAATGCGATCATACAATTTTCATATATGAAAAAAATGCTTATCATACTCTTTCATACAATTTCATAGAGCAAAATTAAGTGTATTAAAATAGCAAAAATAAGCATTTTTCCATACTATGAAATTGTATGACAAGCGTTTTTTCCATTAATGAAAATACAAAAAATTTTTGTTTTGAAATTTTGTGTTTCATCCGAAACACTAAGTAAGGGTTTTTTGTCATAAGTAAACCCAGAGTGTAACAAACAGTTACCACGCAGGTAATCTACATTTGGTGATTTTTGTCATGAAAGTTAGTTTTAACATTTTCGCATGGAAAGATATACCAAAAATGCAACTTTGTGTATATGGTCAGATGACTTTTAGTTTGAAAATTTTGGTGGTTGAGAAAAAAGGCCTATTTTATAAAAATTTATTTTTATCTCAGCAAATGAAACAAAAAAAAATAATCGTGTTTACAAAATAAAATAGCGCCATGAAATAGCGCTTTGTGGTAGAATTAATAGGAGATGTGCATTAACATAAATTCATCCAACATTAGTTAAAATGAAAAGGAATCGAGTGAATCGAAAAAATGAGCCGAGGAACACCCGAGCAGTGAATTGAAAATAATATTAATAAAAAAAGTAACTAACAGGATTGCTGAAATAGTTTGAGACAATATAATTTTGAATTTTGATAAAACATAGAAAAATGAAATGTATTTTTGAGATAATTTTTGTTCCGACTTTCGAAGAAAACGGAATATTTATTGAGTTATGTATAGGTTACTGTACTCATAGAGTAATTTTAGATAAGGTACACCGTCTGCTCGTCACGCTATTTTATTTTCGGCCGGATAGATTCGTGCAACTTCTTAGTCTAATACCAATCTTACTCTTACTCTTATATCTCCTAGTCTCAATAGATCTAGTGTACACCGGTTTACGCGAGTTAGTTTCAGAATGAGAACAACTGTATTCTAAGTTTAGTTCAAATTGTTCTGGTGTTGAAACTACAAGTACTTTCAATTTCAACACTTTACAAATAAATAGGTTGTTAGTTTTATGGAGTATGATTGGTTAGTATTTAATATTTTATAAAGATAAAGTATCATAATAATAACCAATGATAAATACTAGTTTAGATCTGGTTCCAGATCTGACCAATAAATTGTTACCATAGTTTGGTTTGTAATAAATTGATTGATGAGAAGTTTCTACTATAAAAAGAGTGCAATATAAAATCATTCAAAATGTGTCTCCCCGTATAAGCACTCCATGAGAATAGAAAAGAATCCAAAACCATTAAAAGCAATTTAACCATGGTCGACTTTTAATTCCGGAAGGGGGGGTGGGGTTTATTTAGAGCGGGAGTGAAGATTATATGTCTGCTAGAATAACAAAAATAACATGGCAGCAGTAGCGGACTTGGGGAGGTGGCGGGGGGCGGACGCTTCCCTTCAGGGATTTGACCCCCTGCCGACCCAAAGGGTCCCCCCTTTGTACTATTTTGAGATATCCATTTTTGGCCGACAGACCCTAAAATTTTTCTAAAGGCGCCTTGGGCGCCAATTTTTACTAATTTTGAGGGGAGCGCGCGCCAAAAAACGCGATTTTTTGGTCGAAGTTTTCCAATAAATGCTTAAAAACGCCTCTTTTCAAAAATTTTTCACCTAAAAAAAGAACTACAGAATTTTCAAAATTCAATTTGAAAATCCGCCTCCCCCCTCGAAAAAATCCTAGATCCAAGCCTTCTATGGCAGTGCTAAATGAAAACCCATTCACATACTTGCATTG